GGGCGGGGCCATGGCTCGTGAGGGGTCCCCTCCTCTGTGTCTTTAGGGGCGGGCGGCAATGGCACCAGCAGCAGGGACCCCGTTCCCTTGCGTCGTTCTGCAATGTCCACTGAGGGGCCCAGGGACAATCCCGGGACGAGCACGTCCCGGAGGGCAGCACCCATGCGCTGCTGGCCCCTCCGGACAGCACCGTCTGGGCCGTGTGGTCCCGCCGCTCCATCTTGATGATGACGCCGATTTCGCATTCCCGTGAATGGAGAGCGGAGACAGGAGCTCACTTCCGTGGACACGAGTGGGCGCGCTGAGGGGGCCTGGGCCCCAACTCTGGTTTTCCTGCCAAGTGTGACGACGGGCCCCTCTCGATGATGAGCGTGCGCGGGAAAAACTTGGGGGTCAAAGGGAGCAGCTGTGGCCCCCGCATTGACCCGGGGTGCCGCTGTGCCCCGCAGGTGAAAGGAAGAGCCGTGAAGATTAGACCCAAGACGAAGGACTGGCTGAGCGGCCTGCAGGAGGGGGTCATCCGGAAGCAGGACAGTGTGGCCTCCGTGTCGCCCACCGCCAACTCGTGCTTGCTGGAGGAGAGCTTCGACTTCACGAGTCTGGACTATGAGCTGGAAGGTGGGTGGCTCTGGAGGGTGCCGTCGGGGTGGCGAGGAGGGGAAGGCAAGAGCTCTCCTGGCGACGGCTGGGAGCTTCACCGTCCCCCTGAGCCCTGCCCAGGGCTGCCCCAGGCTTGTGGGGGGAGAGGTGGTGTGGCGTGAGCTGGGCAGTTTCCCTGCACCTGAGATGGTGACGGCAGCCTGGGGACCCATCAGCAGCATGGACGGCAGTGGCCGGAGACTTGGGGGCCATGAGGACTGGACCGGTGTGCCTGGACTTGGGGACCCGTCCCCCCAACGTGGCTGCAGAGGGCGTCCTGACTTGAGCCTAGGCTCAGCACTGCAACAGGCCCAGGCCGACAGGCTGTGCTCTGACCCTCATTGTCTGCTATGACTCGTTTCCTCCCCAAGGGGACATCCTTGAAGATGACGAGGACTATTTGGTGGATGAACTAAGTCAGCCTGTGGCCTCGGACGGCGAGCTGGGGGCGGACGAGCTTTGCGAGGCCCCCCGCCCCTCGACAGCGGCTCCCCCCAGCAGCTCACCTGCTCTCACCAAGAAGCAGCACCCGCCCTACCGAGGTAGCCGGCACCTTCCTCTTCCTCTGCCTGGCCCGAGTCCCCCCGCTGCACCGGCGCCATCTAAGTCACAGGCTGCTGCGCTGGAGGCGGCTCCCTGTGCAGAGAGGAGGCCAGTGTGCTGCAGGGAGCGCAGACGGTGGCCTCGAAGCGGCCACCCTCGGCTGAGGGAGGGAGCCAGGGCAGTAGGTTTCAGGGCCAGGCTGGGGACAGCGCTGTTGGTTGGCTGTGGAGTGGGCGAAGGCCGGGACGTGTGGGCGTGGCTCAGGGGCCTTCCAGGGCAGGGCCTGTGTGGACTAGTATGCAGAGGCCTTCTCCAGAGACGGGGCGTGGGCTTCCTCCTGGGTGGGCCCCCCCCGGTGCCTCCCAGCACCAGCCGGCCTGCTCCAGGCCAGGTCAGGGCGAGTCTGCCGCGGGGCCCTCTGGGCGTGCACGCTCCTGCAGATGAGGGCCAGCTCCGTGCTCTGTGCGCCAGACCTCGAGGAGAAAGCGCGGTGCCCTTCTGTGCTCTAGCGTTTGAGCAGTTACAGTATCACCAACAGGGCCCCGAAAGGACTAAAATGGGGGCCCTCCCAGGGTGGGGCTGGGCCCCCGGAGGCTGACTTTCCAGTGGCTTTAATGTCTGTATTCTTTACAGCTGGTACTCCTGTGGCTGTACCCCTATAATGGGTACCCCTGTAACACACCAGCTCGTGATAATTCCTTTTTCCTCTGTATTTCAAATGACCACTTTTTTTCTTTTTTTTTAATGTATTTATTTTTTAGATCATTCTTCATTTTGTACATTTTTTTCATCTCGGTTGTAATCCCATGGACTTCTCACCACCAGTTCACCCGTGTGCCATCGCCACAGTCCCATGCTCTCTTTTTGACCCGTTTCCCTCTCCTCCCCTGTAGAATGTCTCCATAGTTGTTCTATAGTGGTTCATTGATTTTGTTTTTACTGTATTACAATGGCTTTTTCTTTTCTGTCCTATCTCTGTGCTCCTGCTATGAGTGAAACCATCCAGTATTTTTCTTTTTCCTTCTGGTTTGTTTCACTGAGCATGATCCCTTCCAGCTCCATCCATATTGCTGCAAAAGGCATGGTTTACCTTTTTGATTGCTGTGTAATATTCCACTGTGTACATGTGCCACATCTTCTTGATCCAGTCATCTATTTTTGGACATTTGAGTTGATTCCACATCTTCCCTATTGTAGATAGAGCAGTAATAAACACAGGGGTGTGGGTGTCCTTTTGAATGAATGTTTTTGTGTCCTTTGGGTAGGTACCTAGGCATGGAATTGCCAGATCATATGGAAGCTCCATCCAGTGACCACTTTTTTTACATTTCTGAGTATTTTTTTTTTCTCTCTAAACTTTTCTGATTTAATCCCATGAGGGAGAGTCAGTGTCGTGCCCTGATGGCAGGGTGGTGTTCGAGTCCATGATGTTACTATACACTTAAGAGTCTGCATTAGCGTCATTGTGTGTCATTCCGGCCTGAAGGGCAGAACATCACATGGGCTGAATAGCATATGGCTCAGAATATGTTTTAGTCCACCTGGTTCTGTGAGCTGGACAGGAGAGCGGCTCATAGTTCCTAGGATGCAGCCCCACGGCCCCCTACCCTTGGGCCTCCCCTGGTGAGCAGCTGTGACCTGGCTCCTCTCAGGGCCAGTCTCTCCAGCAGTCTCTTGGGAGCAGGGCCGCGAGAGCGCAGGTGCCTCTTTGGCTAGATCGACCCCCAGGGCTCTCACGCCACAGACGAGCGGGCTTTCCCCTTAGCTGACCCCTCTCCCAGCTCGGCCTCAAGGTGGGCTTGGGCTCGAGGGGTGGATGGTGCCTGAACCAAAATGGAATGAATCTGGCCGTGCAGTGCTGTGGGCGAGAAGCCCTAAAATTGTACTGAATTTGCAGGTAATTCAGTAGTTTATGGGGTGTGTGTGTGTGTGTAAGCAAACAGAAGCAGCACCCTCCTGCCTGCTTTGGGGCGACCGTAGACGGTACTAGCAGGACAAATCAAGGTGGCGAAGGTAGCAGCTGCTGCTACCGACATTATGCCGGACTGGAAGCAGGGAGACGCCATGCTGGGGGCTGGCAGAGAAGTGGGAATATTCTCAGCTTCCAGAACAGTTGTCCCGTGTCAGTGCGAAGAATTAAAATTGAGGGACCCTGGTTTCTGCTGCCTCCGCCCTCTGTGCAAGTGCTGTTGACTGTTTCCACAGGAAACAGCCTGTGCCTGAACCCACTCAGTGTCTTGTCTGCACAGCCTTGACTCACTGGCTTCCAAGCAGGCATCGTGCCCCTGCCGCGCCCTGCCCACAGAGGGGGTGGCCGGCTGCCCCGGGAGCTCGCCGCCCCCAGCCCTGCTCACTGACCTGACTCACGTCCTGCCGTGTCCTCCAGATGACGCTGACCTGGTGGAGTTAAAGCAGGAGCTGGAAGCAGTTGGGGATCCCCGCCACCGCTCTCCAAGCAGGTCTCTGTCGGTCCCCAATAGGCCTCGGCCACTTCAGCCGCCACAGAGACCCCCCCTTCCAAGTAAGACTTGCTGGCTTGCAGTTGCCACGCTGCCTGCTGGGAATGAGGGCCTGCTGCTAACTCCACCTGCTGCACTCTCCACCCCTGCCTGCCTCGCCCCGGGCTGCCCCCGCCCCCCACCCCAGCCCCTGTCTCACATCCAGGACGGGCTTGTGATGGGAGATGGTGGGTGGCTCCTGGCACCCCAAGCGACTTCTTTCTGAGGCTGACCCCTGGCCCCTGAGCTGTTTTGCTTTAAGCTGCCTTCAGCGTGAGGATCCAGGATGGGAAACGGGTTGCCCGGCCAGGCCGGGACTGTTCTGGCTCCTTCCTCCCCAGCCCTCAGTGCCTCACAGCATCCTCTCCCCTCGCCTGCGGCCTGCCCTGTTCAGACTGGTCAGGACTCAGGGCGCCCAGGGTCCTGTGAGCGGGCGTCTGCGGGCCCCGGGCCCCGACCTGCCAGCAAGAGCTTCCCAGCCCGGCCCCTCCGACGGGGCTGGGCTCCCCAGCTTCTCGGAAACGGTGCTCCTCTAGCGCTGTGCCTGAAGCTGCAGACAAGTCAGGACCTGCTGCCCACAGTGCTGTCCGCGCTGGCGTGGCCCACGGGCCCCAGCCCAGGCCGGCGTCCGGCTTCCTGCACAGGAGTGGGGAGCTGTGTGCCTTTTACAACATATTTCTTACTCTTCTGAATTGATAGAATAAAATTGAAAGTAAAATTTGTCACGTTTAGAAGATTTACAAAAATAGATAAAGATGAGCACAGTTGAAAGCTCACTAGAGATAGTGATTGTTCATCAAAGCCCTCATCAGCCCTCCTCGATACTCGTATCTCTGCGCAGCTGTTAGCGTGGGTTTTGGTTTGTTTTCCGAAACTGGCCCGTTTCGCGTGCTCGTTGTCTTTCATGGAATGTGTGTGTCACTAAATGTTGAAAAATGCGATCTGTTAGTGGCCACACGCATAGCTTACTAGCACTTACCCTGGATGTTTGATTTTGTCCCAAAACATTTCCCAAACATTGTCCCAACAACATTGGTGTACTTCTAGTCACCGGCAGAAGAGGTGCCGGGTCAGTTTCGAAGCTCCCGGGTCTGAGATCTTAGGTTAAAGTGTGTTCAAATAATGTCTGACCTGAACGTCTCCAGGCGGGGGTCGGGCACCCTGGCCGGGGCTGGGGTCGGCGTGGGCCACCAGCCTTGCGCGCTGCTTGTTCCGGCTGCGTGGGTACCTGCCTCAGAGCGGCCAGCAGCTCCCTGCGTTGAGCCGTGCCTCCTGGGTCTTTTCAGCAAGCTTAGCGGTGAAGAAGTCGGCTTCGGATGCATCCCTCTCCTCCGGCACCCACGGGCAGTACTCGATCCTGCAGGCCGCAAAGCTTCTGCCGGGAGCGTCTCAGCAGGTGGTGAGTTCTCCTGTGCTTCAAACCCAAGGAGCCACCCTCAGTACATCCACCGCTGAGGTCACCCGGGGCCGCCTCTGCTCTCGCTTCAGCCCTGTGACCATCCACCTGCGTCCCCAATGCTTGGCTGTGACCTTGGCAAGGACTGGTCAGAGGGAAAATAGGAGAAAATCAAATGCCACCGTGTTCCAGGGCAACCCCCGATGTGAACTGGTCGCCTGACTGGGTGTTCGCCCGGGCACTTAAAGGGACTTATAATAGCTCAACTGCTGGCACACACAAAGAGGGTACAGTGGGCTTATTTACAAGGGAAAGGGAAAGGAGTCACTCAGAGGAAGAGCACGAGAGAGAGAAGCTGGTGACGGCATCCGACCAGGCCCACTGACCTAGAGCTGGTCATGCTGGACGCCGGTGAGAAGTTTCCAAGAGACCAGCTGTACGTCACTAGGCCGAGGGACTCCCCAAGCCCACGTGCCTGGTTTTATAAGAAACAGGGCTGCTCGACTCCGCCCTGGGGTTCCAGCAACCCTCCCTTTGGTGATGCTGGGATTTGTAGTTCTGGTGTTGAGGTATGGATGGAGTCCACAGAACCTGTTTCTGTAGAGTTCTTTCAGGACATCCTTTCCCCCCAACACTTGGAGACATTGGTTGTCTTGATGAGATAATGAGCATTTCTGTGTAGAGGTAATTGAGGGAAGGAACTGAAAGGACATATGGCAGGTGGCAGGCGCCCTGGGCCAGCGGCTCTGGGGATAGTCAGGGCCGTGGCGAGCCGCAGATAGGGCGGAGGTGACGCAGGGGCTGCCGAGGAAGACGCAGGCGGCCATCTCAAGAGCATGAGGCAGGAGGTGTCCCAAGATGGGGCAGAGGGCTGGGCCCGGCCACTCGCTCACTGTCCACAGCAGGAGTGGGCATTGACTAGACACCAGTGGTCTACAGTAAAGAAGCCTGTCCAACCATGGCGTCCCAGAGGTTTGGGTCCAGAGGTAGGAAGGCGAAGGGCTAAAAAAGCCACTTTTGAGGAAACACACTGCTCCTTTGGGGGGTGGACAGCGTGGCCGCTGATGGTTCTTTCTGGTTCTTCTCTGGTTATTAAAATAAAGCCAGAGGACGGTTGGTCCACCTTGCGGAACCTGTCACCACTCTGAGGCGAGGCTGTCAGCCCTGACGAGGATGGCATTCCTCCTCCTGGCACAAGGGAGCGGGTGGGTGGGGAGGCCTGAGGGCGGCATCGAGGTTGGCACTTAAGCTCCCGTCACCTCGGTGACGCCATGGGAAAGGCGCTGGAGGTTCTTGTCCCACAGACACTGACACGCTGCTCTTCTGCCTCTGTCCCCAAGCCCAAAGCTAGGACTGGGATTAGTAAACCCTACAACGTCAAGCAGATCAAAACCACCAACGCCCAGGAGGCGGAGGCAGCAATCCGATGTCTTCTGGAAGCCAGAGGAGGTAGGTGTTGCACTGGGCCGCTCCCTGGTCCGGAAAGTTCCTCTCCTTCCCAGCCAAAGGGGCCTAGGAACGAAAATAACTTTGTTTTTTTCCCCAGAGGCAGTATAAGATAAAAGTGTCCTTTAGCAACATTTTGTAAGATTCCACTAAGATTTGTCTATTCAAGATGATATGTTTAAAGTTCAGTAAGTACATAAAAATAACCTCAGGTTTATTAAGCAGCACTTAAGGGAGAGACTAACATCAATAAAAATGAATCTTAAAGAAGGTTCATGTTGTAAACACGTAACCCATACTGCTCTGCAGAAAATAAACTGAGCAGTGCTCATCCTATTTCAGTTACAAATCCACTTTCTAAATTTAAGACAAAAACCTCTTCACCATACTTTGTCATTTCTCTTGTACTTGTTACCCATGTTAATGATATTTTAATGTGGAATTCCCCCCATGTATCCAAAATCACTGGTAATTAAGTTTTTTTGTACTGGACTCCTCTTCTTCTTCTTCTTTTTTAATTACCTTTGTTGAGGTAACATTGGTTTACAGAACTGTGTGGTGCACCCCCACACCAAGACACCACGACACTCCCCCACGTCCATGGGAGAATCTCTTTTCAAGAGGGAGACTGGCTCTGAAAAGCCACATGCAGTTACAATTGCCTAATTAGCTTTTAGACAGGATATTTAATATGCTTCTAATCCTAATAAATAGTATTTAATGAGGGTATGAAGTAGGAGATTGTGAAACACTCATGTAACAGCATCACAAATGGTTTCTTTATGGGGAGTGAAAGCCATCTGAATGAGTCATCTGAATGTAGCAATCCAAGTGCCCTCAACATGCACAGATGAGCAACACGTGTGGCCACCATGGAGTATTACTCAGCCGTTAAAAAGGATGACGTGCTAATACCTGCCATGTCACAGGTGAATCTTGACAATGGTATCCAAAGTGAAAAAAGCCAAGAGAAGTACCCAGAACAGGCAAATCCATGAAGACAGGAAGTTGTTGTTAGTGGTGCCTGGGCTGGAGAGGAGACATGGAATACAGAGATTAGAAGAGGTTTGAAGTTTGAAAACCTCTGGGCTCCAAGGTCACGTTTTCTTGGTCATGGGCCCTGCTGAGATTTTGAGAAGTTTGAGATCATCTCCCCTGAGAGACACATGTCAAACTCTGTGTGTGATGTCAGGCCCTCACCAAGCCCCAGGGAAGCCTCTCTTGAGCCCCAACGGGGAAGGCGAGAGTGAGAAGCTGGGGACAGAGCGGAAGGCTGCTTTTTTAGAAACAATGAAGTACATTGTGCTGAAACATTCCTTTTGGATGGATGGCCCCAAGACTAAGTCCTGCAGCAAACTGCTGGCCCTTCACGCTTGAGCCTGCAATTATGTGTTTCAGGTGCCCCAGGAGAAGCACTAAACGCCTCAACTCTGAGAGACCTAGGCTCCTCCAAACCAGAGCCACCAGCGGGGGTGCCCACTATCCTGCCCCGGCGCCCCGCACCCAAAGTTCCTGCCATCAAGAAGCCAACCTGGAAGAGGACGGGAAAGGTAAGAACCTGCCGGCCAAGCCTCTTCCCCCTGCGACCTCTCCTGTAGCTTCTGTTGGTGTCAGAGAAACGGTCGCGCTTGCCGGGCCCGGGCTTGACGGCCACCGGGTAGTTGTGGACGCTGCAGCTTTTCTCGCCACTTTTCTTGCAGATTGTCTTTTGCTCTCGCTCCCCAGCCCCCAGCCTTGCTTGCTGCTTCAAAGGCATGAGTTGGTCGGGACAGTGGCCGCCCACAGACTGGCGCCCGCAGAGACGGCCGGATCGCCCGTGTGATCTCGGGGCTCTGATGGGGGCCCCTCGGTAATGGCCCGCGGCCGTGCGTGACCACCCCAGCAAGTGTGGCTGCGTGCTGCTCCGTGGCGCGTTGCTTCTGCTGTCCGCCTTCCTGCCTAGCGAGAGGCCGCTCCCCTCCTCCGCGTCCTCATGCCTGCTTTGTCTTGGGTTGTAAAAGCCAGGGCAGGAACGGCCCACCGTGGGCCCAGCCGCGGGCCTTTGCCGCTGCTGCTCTCGGGAGGGCGCCCTGGAGGCTGACGGCGGCTGCGGCCCCCGACCTGGTCCAGCAGGGCCGGGGGCTGGTCTTGAGGGTGAGGCGCCAGGGTAAAGTTTCCCACCTTCTGGATTTACATTAGCAAGATTCAAGGAGCAAGTGTGTCCGCTCGTCCCTTCCTGGCTCCAGGCTGTCCTGTAAGTTGTAAGGTGCTCGGCCGAGCCCGCTCCACACTCACTCTCCAAGGCGGTGGCCTGTTTGGAAGGGGGCGAACGTAACCCCGTCTTAAGGTAACAAAAAAACCTCCGTGGTTGCTGTGGCCTTGCTTTTGAAGCCCCACTGCCCGGCGGGCTCCGGGTTCCTGCATTGCCTGTGCTGCTCTGTGCCGAGCGGCGGTTCCGCCTCCCAGGCATTCTTAGGTCCTGAGCCCGGGAATGTCCGCTCCGGAGAGTCACCCCTGCCCTGCCGCCTGCTGGCTGTGGCGTGAGCTCTGGCTGCCCACTCCCGGCCTCACGCTGACCCTCTGTCGTGCCCTTTCTCAGCCTGAGTCACCCGAAGAGCAACCCGCTGCCCACTTTACCATCGGGCCCCCGGAGCCCAGCCTCGCAGCCCCGCCTGCTTCCGCTGTCCCGCCTGTTCCCAAGCCAAGGACGCTGCCGCCCGGGAAAGGCTCCCAGCGGAGGCCCGGCGGTGGGAAGCCAGGGCCAGGCCACGGCACCCCTGTGACCGGAGCCACCACGCCGCCCCCTCTGGAGGTCCCGCCTCGTGTGCCCCAGGTCCCCCCCAGAAGGAAGAAGTCAGCCCCAGCGGCCTTCCACCTGCAGGTTCTGCAGAGCGGCAGCCAGAGCCTCCAGGGCCCCCAGGGCGGGGGCAGCCCCAGCGAGGGGCCCCCTGGCTACCAGCCCGCCGGGGGCGTGCTCTCCCCACAGCCAGCTCCTCCTGGCACCTCACCTGCTCCCAGCCCGGAAGCCGACGGCCCCAAGGAGACCAAGCCGGGGGCGGCCCCCCTGCCCAGCGGGGATCGGGATCCTTTCTGGAACCTTCTCCAGCACCCGAACCTGTTGAATAAAGCCTGGCTGTCCAAGAGCTCCGAGGCCTTGGACCCGGGGAGCCGGCGGCTGGGAAGAGTGTGCACAGTGCCCCCGCAGGGCAGTGCCCGGGCCACCGGGGACCCCCCGCCCGAGCACAGGCAGCAGGACTCCGGTCCCTGGGTGGCCATCAGCGACAAGGACAAGAGGACGGTGCTGCAGGTGTTCGACCCTCTGGCAGAGACATGACGGCCGGCAGCCGTGCTCACAGGCTGTCCTTGTCCCCTCAGGCCTCACTTTGTGGGGAAAAGCCCGTGCCCCCCAAGTCAGAGAGACATCTATTTAAAGGCACTAAAAAGACCTGCTGCTTGTCACTCCTTGTGGTTTACAGAATCTGTGTCTCTTGTTCGATAAGATGAGACTCGACACCATGACAGGCTTTACTCCCGCCTGGGGCGCACCACGGGTCCCTCAGGTGGGGGGCACCATGCAATGGGGGTGTGGCTGCGAGAAGGGGGTGCGCTGAGCATACCCGTGGGGTCACGTCTGTTCAGTTTACATGTGAATGCGGCGGCATTTGGCCTTTCGATGGCACGGGTGGCCGATGCCTGAGCAGGCCGGCACTCAGGCCGGGCGTGGTTGTGGCTGGGCAGAGCCTTGGACACCAGGTTGAAGTGGGGCAGCCAGAGACTGGACGTACATTACCACGGCCGTGCCAGCCACATGGGCGCCTGCCCTCGCCGGCGTGAGAACTGTGGGGAACACACGCAACTTCCTGTTGCAGACTGGGGCTTCTGCCTGCAACTTCCCCTGCGCATCCCTGGCCAGAGTGGCACAGTCTCAGACACTGCCACGTGGCCGTGACAGCCCGGGCTGGGGCGCCCGAGGCCGACCTCCACTCTCTGTCCCCCGTCCAGTGAAGTTCGCGGAGTCTTTGTTCCCCTTTGGTCGACAGCCGGTAAGCACACCGCACATGACAGCTCACGCCGGCCAGAGTATCGACGCCCCCTGGTATACAAGACAAAGACTGTGTCTCTGTCCCGGCTCGCCTGGCCGTGGCTTCAGGGAAGAGCCCCCCCGGCGCCATCCACGTTTGCGTCTCTGCAGGCGTATTCGGTTAATTTGTGCCCGACGTGTTTCCTTCTACACATTCCGAACACGCCTGCTTTGCCTACTCCATCACTGAAAAAGGCACCCGTACACCTGTACATCGAAAAGGAACGTGCCAGGCTGCGAGGCGCTTGCAGGTCGCAGTTTTGCCAGTAAATCGCTGGCAAAAGCTCAGTGCGGTGCGTCCGGTCGGACCCGGTCATCCTGCTGTGGGTGCAGCTGAGCTGGCGAGTAGTCCGCGGCTGGCCACGGCCCCCACCCCCGCCACTAACAAGCCGCGTGGCAGGTCAGGGAGAGCTGCTGCACGAAACGAATCATTTTGTTGACGTTCAAGGCCCCGAATAAAATTCTCCTGCCATGTATATAAGTCTACCCAAAGTCATGTATGAAAACACTATAAAGAAGTCATTTCCTTAGACAGGAAAGCCGCAAAGGCGTGTATCAGGTCACTCGCAACGAATAAAAGCCTGTCCTGTGTATTTGAAGTGATAATTTATACTGAAATTGTAAAAAGTGCCCATTAAATGTTGTGTTCTTCTTAACCTGACTCGTTTATTTTCAGCTGCGGCGAGAACCGCGGGTATCCCCTTGGGCTAGCTTCTATTCTGGACCGAGTGTGATGACTCCTTACTCCCCTGAGTTTTTGCTTGGGGGACGTTTTTTTAACCATGGAGCTAAGCTGAAGAAAAAACAAGCAATCGTTTGGCTAAAACGTGGGCCTGAAAGCGGCCAGCAGACCCACGCTCGGTGCTTCCTTTGCTCGGTGCATCTCGGAGACCCCAGCGATGTTCATCTCTGCAGGGAACACCAAGAGGACGCTGTGGCTTGGGTGCCTCCGACCGAGGGGAGGGGCCACGGCCTTCAGGTCGCGTCCAGGTTTGTTCTTAGCAGAGTAACTCAGGGCGGGTCCCTGAGGTGGTCAGGACCCCCAGGCGCCCCCCTTCCCCCCCTCCCCCCGGCCCTGGGAGTTGCCTGGGAAGAAGGAAAGTGTCAGGCCATCGTTTCCAAGGGAGAGGAAGAGGAGGGTTCAGAACCCCCAGCCAGGCAGCCCCCTCTTGAGGTAAGAGTGTGAACCATGGGGCGCTCCCTGGTGGCGCAGC